GTTCCATTAAACTAAAACAAAATCTATAATCTTCCTTTCCTAAAATGTTCTTAATTCTGACTTTTTAATTATTTATCTTGGAGCCATCTTACTTCAGACTTCTGAGGTTTAAAACAAAGTCATATTTGCAAGGGCCTTAACTCCAGTGTCATGTTAGTCCCTTTCCTATTTTACTTTGCCCATTCTTCCATTCCTTTCATCCTCTCCGGGCTATTAATTAGGATGATGCTGGGATCCCAGCAGTCTGGGATGAAGAATCTTCAGCATTACCTATGGCAAACAGATTTAAGAGACACCTCATGTCTTTCGCCAAAGTTGGAAACAGTTATCCTAAGTTACTATCAAATAAGCTCTGTTTTCTATCTCTCCAACATTCAGTAGAGCTTTCTACATTCCTCAGGAAAACTTTTCTGTAAAAATGAGCTGCTTAAGATTATTTTCATGATTAAAATGTTTGTATGTTCCTCATTGCTTTGTTAAAGTCTATAAAAAGCATTTTTCAATCCATTCCTAATCAAGCTTGCCAGGATCTTTGTTTTAGATTATGTTCCTTCAACCTGGTGCTTATTTTATTCTCTATTTAAAACTATTTATCTCTCAATATCTGATTCCAACATTATTCCCCAAAACCTTACCCAGAATAGAAAATTAATCTATCCTTCCCCAGTAAAAAACTTATATACAGCTCATTATAACATAGAACATGTTATAACAATAACTTCCACTTGTTTCTCAAACTAGAATGTACATTTTTAATAAAAGGTATTCATACCAACTTTGTTTACCCACGGCATCTAGCAAAATGCCTGAAAATACTGTGGGGTTTTAGTAAGTGTTTATTGATAGAGCAAATAAATTCTTGTGACAACAGCAAGAAGGCAAAATCATATAATTTTCTCTACTGTGTTCTCATATTATTCAACGTTTGTCGTATAACATTTGCGGCACACATTGTAAATATCTCCCCAAAAGACTTACACCACATTGAGTGGAAAAACTAACCTTTATTATTTGTATATATTATTGTAATTGGCATAAGAGAAGATAAATATGATGGCTATAACTGAAAATACAGTTCAAAAATAGGAGAAAATGTAAATAAGCTAAATGTAGAAAATATTTGGACTTAAATATCTTAAGACATTATTTACTAGGCAATTTTATGCTTCTATTCATTTTTTAATATCCAAGAAGATGGTAGAAAATTTTTCATTAATTATTAAAATAAAATGCTTAGGCTGACCATGTTATTTGATGTCAATTGAATGCTATTCAACTCTGCTGAATATTTGTTAAAATATTTACGCTCTGAAATGTAAGGAAATGGAACAAATAATCAGTGGATGAATATCATATAATTCAGGTACAATGTAAGTAAATTAAAATCCAATATCCAATGAGCACTCCATATGGGCAGTGCAATCAGCTTGCCCTTAATGGACAATGTAAGATCAAGAAAATATCCTCTTGTTTCCCCTGCTCTAACTTCCATCCCACCCTAAGATATTCTCTTCATGGCATTTGATGAAGATATATAGGCCATTTCTAATGAGTAAGATCAAATAAATGTTTTTCTCTGCTCAGTTATTCATTCTTCATGCTGATCTAGCATAAAAATCAAACAAATATTAAAAAGTAAGTTTGACTGTATAGGAGTATTTGTGTGCATGTGTTTGTCTGTGTGCACATTTCTCTCTCTCTCTCTCTCTCTCTCTCTCTCTCTCTCTTAGGCACATTCTTACTGTTGCCATGCAACAGATTGCTTAAATTTAACTTATTTTTTAAATTTAAAAAAGGATAAATAGTATCTTGTTTGATAAATTCAGCTGCTGTCTTAATTATAAATCCTTGATTCGTTATTCAATTTGTCTAAAGTACTATCTTGGCATAAAAGTTGAGTCGACTCAATCATGTAAACAACTTTAGGTGTTAATCTGGAAAAGGGAATAATGATAGAGAAAGATGAAGAAAGAAATAATCAATTTATTAATTAAATAGGATGAATTTAACACTTCATGCTGTAAACCTATAGGAAACATGAAAGAAATAGGAACATGCAATTTTAGAATTTATTCAGAAATAGAAACAGCAACAAACATCCGCTTTCTTCCTTCCTCTACCCCCTCAATTTAGCAATCCTGACACAAGGAGAATAAAAACTAAAAATTTAGAGCTTTTGGAGTTGAATGAGCTATTCATTTCAGTTTCTGTTTATTTGTTTTGTTTTGTTTTTTGATGATGGTGAAGGGTATATCTATTCATTATTTTTGTTTGTTTTTCATGCTGGCCCCATCATTTCTCTTCTTAATCTTAAAATGAGTTGAGAGTTGAAAATATATATATATATATATATATTCTTAAAGTCACTTTTTGCCTACAGAGCAGGAGAAGAGTCCAAATGTCAGGAAATTATCAGGGGATTTGTGCTGGTTCTAACTCAAAGGTACAAAATAGGAATTTTATGCCCTTTCTGAGTTAACTATCCTAAATTGAGGGTTTTAATAAATCAGTTGAATTATAATAAAACTTTTTAAAACATATGCTATTTTACTATTAAAATATAATTCTGATATGATTTAATATTTATACTTTTATTAGAACTATATTTTATAGAAACCAGCTTTATATAAACACAACATCTAATATATGGAATAATTAGAAATTCAGCATTTAATGATGCAGTATCACGACATACAAATGTGAAAAAAATTGGTCAAGTTAAGCAAGATATACTTAACCTCTAAATGTATCATAAGCCCACATATTGGTGCTTTGAATTACAATGGAGAAATTAAAACATATTGCTATGTAAAGTCTGTCTTATCAGTTATCTCAATGTGGCTTATGGTTTAGTTTAGGATGTCAAACAAACTTACATAAGGCAGCCTTCCTGGAGAAAATAATGATGATAAAACCTAATTTTCTATAGTTACAGGAAATATTGGAAGCCAGAAAATACATAGCAAAGAGTACAGTTAATAATTACTAAGACATACATCCCATTTAGCTTAAAGTGGTTAATGACATAGTCTTAAGACTAGAAGTCAGTGTCATCTTGATTCCACTATTGCTATTTTACCCCTCTTTGTTCTCATTAGATATATAATCAAAATAAAACAAGAGACACAGTACACTACCATAGCTAGGAACACTGGCCTTGGATATTTAGACCATAGGTTTAATCCATGCACTGCTATTTTCTAGTTCTGTAACCTTACGCAAGTTATTCATCATCATCATCATCGTCATCTTCACTAAGAGGTCGGTGTAACATATTATTTGTACCTATGCCACATACCTTTGATTTGTCACATATTTCAGCTTCACTTGTGGTTGAGAGTTCCCATTCTTTCTTTTAGTGTCTCACTTCACAGGTCTGATAAGACTCTATCTTTTCTGCCTCTGAAGAATATTGTTCAGATGCACTATACCAAAAGGAGATCCAAGAAGTGAAGGTGGGAAGGAGATAGGCATAGAGGTCAGCCCCTGGTTCAACTTCACCTCCTGTACTTTGGAGGTACAAATCTGCAAGACATTTTATATGATTCTTCACAGGGTCTAGAGAGAGATTGGGCCCTCCTTGCCTACAGCTCAATAGTCTCATGGCAATCATCTTTCCTCCTTTCTTGTCTCACTAGTGCTCCCCTTTACCCCATCCCCACTTCCTTACTCTTGCTTATTATCAAATAATCTACCTGTATCCAAGTACTTGACTTAGATTATGCTTCTAGATGACTCATATTAGAGATGGTTTTATCACCCTTATTGTCATCATCTTCATTGTCATGATCTTTGGCACCATCAATATTATCATTAGCATTATGATTACTTGATGTTTATTTCTATGTGTTTGAGATTATTATAGGAAAAGTTGAGCTTCTAATAAAAGGTAGAGACTTCAGTGACTGATATGTATTTGATGGACTGGTTGGCAAAAGAAAAAAATGGTACCATTTACGAGATGTACAGCCTATTTGTAGTTTTTTATGGTGTAGTTTGCCATTTAGTTGAATAACATTAATTGGAATTTGAATAACACAAGCTTTATAATGACTTGGTGAATTTTTATGATACTATGTTCCTTCTCTTAATCTTACTATAATGATGAAGCAAATCAAATGATTTCTATTAAAATTTTTTTAAAGGTGTCAAAATAGTCAATATAATTTTCAAATCACTAAAGCACTTTGGGAACTCACATTTTAATAAAACCAGTTGGTCTGATAATTTTTAATCTACTCACCAAATATCTATATGTAGTTGAGATCCATGATTATTTTTATATACTGGAATATAAATTATATATTGTAAAATATTATGTAATTGAAATATTTATTATCTTAGATCAGTCTACCCCTGGATCACTGTATTACATCTGATCTGCATATAGTGACCTTCACTTTTATTCTCATTGCTTTAAAACCTATTATCAATCCAATATGAATTTAAATTTAATTCTGTTCATTAAAGGGAATTCTCTGCACAGGACTATAGTATAATTTTTTTAAATTATCAAGGGTTAATAATTTTAATCTAGTCATATGTCACATTATGTATACAATGCAATATTTTAGAATGAATAACAACAGAGCCACACCATAGTTATAGCTTTGAGATATGTCAAGTTTTGACAGGTAATAAAAGTTTTTGGTGTATAATAAGAACATATTATCTATATAGCATATTATATGTTACATACAAAAAAATTAAACATAAAGAATGTGGGAAGGCATGGTGACTCACATGTGTAATTCTAGCACTTTGGGAGACCAAGGTGGTAGAATCACTTGAGGCCAGTTCAAGATCAGCCTGAGTAATATAGCAATACCACATCTCTACAATAAAATAAAAAATTATCTGGGCATGATGACACATGCCTGTCATCCCAGTGACTTGTGAGGCTAAGGAAGGAGGATCACTTGAGTCCAGGAGTTTGGGGTTGAATCACTTAAAATGTTACTACTATCTGTTCAATAATTATTCACACACAAGATACTTGCATTGTTCCAAATACTAATCTGAGTTCCGTGGATCAAAGATGAATAAATAAGAATCATTTCATTTTAGTAGGTCATTTCTATTAGGGAGATAAATACAAATAAATAGTTAGGAACACATTTTATAAATTTTCTAATATAATATATTAAAAACAAAAGTATAAAAAGTCTAATAATTGATATGATCATGAAAATTTCATGAAGTAATTGCATTTGAACTGAATTTTGAAAAATAAGAAGGCAGTTCCAAGTGGAGGATTTTGAGGAGAGAATTCCAAGTAATGCAGCATCATGGACAGATGTGCCAAGGTAAAAGAGAAGACCATAATTAAGGCATTGCAGAGCTTGGCAGAAGGCGGTATGAAATCTAGAAAGATCAATTGTGTCATTGTCTCACATATTTGAAATCTACTCTAATGAAAAATATATTTAAAAATTATAAGTAGGCATCTCTTCCCTTATTTAACATCCCATTTTTGGATTTTTCAATGAGTTCTCAATAAGAAATGTCTTTTGTTCCTTTTCTCATCTACACTCTTTCCTAAGATGATGATATCTTCCAGTCTCACAGTAACCATCAGTCTTAGTTTGTTTGTACTACTATAACAAAATACCTGAGACTGGGTAATTTATAAAGGACAGAAATATATTTTCTCACAATTCTGGAGACTAAGAAGTCCAAGTCCAACGCACTGACATATTCGGTTGTCTGGAGAGGGCTGCTCTCTGCTTCGAAGATGGCACCTTGCACTGCATCCTCTGGAGGGGAGAAATATCATGTTCTCACATATGGAAGGCACAAAAAGGGTTGAACTCCTTATATGAAGCACTTTTATATAAAGACCTAATTCCATTCATGAGGGCAAAGTTTTCTTAATTTGATCACCTACTAAATAAAGGCCAATCTTCTTAATACTGTCACATCGAGGATTAGGTTTCAATGTAACTTTTGGAGGGGCACCATCATTCAAATCAAAACACCATCTACATGTGGATGATTGTGAAATTTAAATTTCTACTGCAGTATTTTAACTGAAAGATACCTATAAATCTACATACTTACTATATCCCCACAAAACTTTAAGAAGCAGCTCTAATAAATTTGTTCAGATGTGATCTATTGTCTTTCCCTTTAAAATGGTTTAACACTAATATTCACTGTTAAAATGGCTCATCACTGGTATACTACATTTTAAGAAACTACCACACACACACACACACACACACACACACACAGCACACACACGGAGTTACTCAAGACAAAAATAAAATGAACTACCTTTAATTGCTCTTTCTCTAACACCTTACACCTTCAATCTACTAAGGGGTCTGTTGATTAATTTTCCCAAATCATCATGATCTCTATTCTTTGTTTTCACTCTTACCACACTTGTCACAGTGACCACCATACTTCTGGGCTAGCCTAAGAGCCTCTAGACTGGCCTCCCTGCTTTCACTCTTGGCTCCTCCTAATCTATTCTTCATGCTAGAGTCAATTTCTCTATTGTTCAGTATGTTCAAGCCACACTGTTTCTCTTGGTGTTCCTTGGGCTCTAATATTCTGCCCCAAGCATTCTCATGACTCCTTCTTTATCATGAATAAAATTTCTACCTAAGAATTACTTCCTGATATAAGGCCTTACTTTAACACTCAATAAAATGTCCTGCCATTTTTACTTACACTGGCATTCTCTATATTACTATATATCCACTGTTTTATCTTTAATATGTTGTTATAATTAGCTGAAATTATCTTTTTTCTGTTTGTTATCTTTTTCCTCCCCCCTCCCCCCCAAAAAAAAAACCTAGAGTGTTAACCCTTTGACAAAAGAAAAAATTTCATGTCTATGTTATTAACATTTCACCACCATATTTCTGGCACCACAGAACCACAACATTATTTGTAGAATTTTAAAAAATGTATTTCATGGACGTAGCCCTGTCATGAGCATAACTCCTGGCAGACCTGAGGCATGGACTTCTGAGAAATAAATAGTTTTCATTGATTTTGACCAAATTGTCTAGACCATAAAAAGCATTTCATAAATATTTATTGAAGAATTGAGTGACCTGTGCTAGAAAAAGAAGAGATAACCAGATAATGGATCTACCACAGCAACTATATAGTATGACAAAACCCAAAATATCCCCAAGTATTCTCAGAGAATAAATGTAGATGGCAGCTGACTTATTGGGTATCACCGCATGCCTTTGTAAATGTCAAAGTTATCCTATAACAGAAGTTATAAACAAGAGTGATCAAGTAGGGAGCCAGGAATAACTCCAAGGATAGCATAAAGGCCAGCACTCTAATTTTAGAATTTTTTGCCACTCTCCATGAAGAAATACAAGCTTTTTCTTAATCATTCATTTTAGATAGATATAGATGAGCACCTGCCATAATTTAAAAAAATTTAAAATTCAGTATCTGACAGTAAGTAGCTATCTGACTTTCTGGGTAAAAAATTCTTAATGGAATACTATAATAATAATAATAAGATGATGATGATGATGATGATGATGATGATGATGATGATGATCTCACTGAGTTGGCATGGAAAATAACTGTTTTATCTTTTATAAAATGCCAAAAAAGTCTATTGTTTTGTTCCTAAGTAAATACTTTGTCTTTTACAAAACAACAGCAAAGTTTTGGCTATTGTTTTTATATCTAAAAAGTATTCAAGATATTCCATAGATTTTGTCAGAAAAAGTATATGACACAATCTTTCTGTCAAAAGTCATCCAGGAGCATATACCACAGCAATAACTCTGTCCTGGCTTCAATTAGAAATAAAACCAGTCATTAAGCATTAAAACCATTCACTTGGCTTAATTGCTGTACTTACATGATTTCTCATTATGTTTGACTGTCTAGAGACAGTTGCTGATGGAGAAGGATTTCCTCTTTATGTCTGTTCATCACCTGCTCTGAAACTAATTTGGATTCATAGAAAAAAATGGCAGTTTTTACAGCCTGATTCCCACCCAGCATAGTTCAGAAGATTATAAAAGAAATCCATTCCCACAAACTTTCCTAATTGAACATTCACATATTTTTAGATTAGTTCAAAGAATAGAGGGCAAGTTTTGATTTAGTTACTAAAAGATGTCATCATAAAATTAGTTCACAGTTTTTGGTTTTGTCTCCAGCTTTGAAACTGTGCAATTATAAATTGCATTTCTCTTTTGAAAATATTTGTGATATTTTATAATTTGATTATATTTTAAACTTTATAGATTCATATTCTGCAAGTTTAGATTTTCATAATTCATATCCCCATAGCATGCTAATGCAACATAGTTTAAAAATGAAGCATGCATGAATCTCTCGCATTTTTTCCTATTATACATGTTTCTTGATATTTCATATATCTCTAAGGAATTAGTGTACATTTAATGTCTTGGTATGAAACATTAAGATGTAAACTATCATAATAGTTAATACTTAAATGTATCCAATATCTCTTTTGTGGGATGTAAATTATATTGAAATTACCTACAGAAAGGCTGTGCATGCCTGCCAAGAGACAGCTAACTTTTGGATCTGTAGACAATTTAGTAAGTGTACCTGAACCTTAAGGTTAACATCAAGTTTTTTTGACAATATTGTAAAAGGAATCCCTAAGAGAAAATAAACCCTAGCTTATTTTTTTCAGGGATCAGAATTGTTAGAATAAAGATGATTGTGATTGTCAAATGAGACAGTAATTGTTGAAGTGATGATGAAAATTTATGGTAGCTATTTTCTAGAACATAAAGCAAGTCTCTGGAGCGATTACAATACTTAAGATTTCTTTCAGCATTATTCCATCTAGTATTCTATATGAAATGTATCTGCTCATGTTAATATGATCTTTTTGTTTTTCCAGAGGCCTTGATATTTTTTTCCTTTTATATTGAGATTTCTTAGGCCAACTGCTCTGTTAATCACCTGATAAATGAATTACAACAATCGCTCTTTTCAGAGAGAGTAAGGGTAGCAAAGGTTCAGAAAGAGAGTGGGCATTGGAAAGAATATAATTTGAAAACTGGACAACTAAAGAGTAATATCAGTTAGAGAAGAATAAGGAGAACTATGATGGGGTTAAAAAAACAATTGAGTTCTAAATATGTGGTATACTGGTTCTATGAACCTGAAAAACTCTATTATCTAATCTTTGAAATAATCCATCCATGTTATATAATTTAAAAAATTACATAACTTAATAGAAATTGCTCAAGTAAATATTTAGTGGAGCTAAGCTTTTATTGCAGATTTATCTGACTCCAGTTGTCATTCTTTTTCCAATATAGCACACTATCACCAACAGCAATCACACAAATTCAGGAAATACGTCAAATATCTATTCTAAAATAACAATCAGGTAGAGGTAAAAATAACATTAATCATCTATGCAAGAATGTAGTTGTAAAAATAGGATACTTAATAATAGGATACTTCTGGAATCATGGGATGTTTGACAACACATTTGTCGGATTGGACTAAAGTATTGTTGATTACATTTAATTAGAAAACATGTGCATATAAACATGTGACAGATACCTATTACTTTTATGAAATTATTAGCATATTTGTGTGAATCAAGAAAATCTCAAATTTTAGAGATTTTTTGTTGTTGTTGTTCTTGTATTTTATGTTTCATGGGAAATGATGAATGAAATTATTACACTCATGTTAGAAATCTAAAACAACATATAACAGAAAGTCTTATTTAAAGTTGAAAACACAAATTAAATTTATACAGCAAATTCTATAGATACAAGGGAATTATCTGAAATGTTTTTAAAAAACTATCCACATCTTTGTTATTGAAAGCACTACTTTATAGTCAAATAAATAATTTTCTTAAGCCAACTTTAATCCAAATGGACTAATGCACATAGTTACAAATGTAGAAAGTCTGACCTAAACACATATTAATTCCAATGTGACTAAAATAACTGCGCAGAGTGAGATGTTAACAAACAGTTATCAAAGGAAGAATTCTTGACTGCCTGGCCTGAGGTTATATTTCAATGATGTAGGTAAACTGGGTCATGAAGTTAAAAAACGATAAACTCAGCAATTTTGGAAGTGCCTGAAGAATAGTTCATTTTACTTGACAATTTATCCATGTGAAATATTTCAGATAATTCTATGAAAGTAAAAGCATTATATATAGGTAAAATTTATTTAAATATTATCACACAACTGTATAAAACTATTTATAGGTGTGCATTGCATATTTTATTAAAACAAATGTTATCATGTTTCATAAAATGTAGTACTTAGTATATAACAAAAATAAATAAACAAATAACTACAGGAAGAGTAGTCAGTAACATTGCCCAACAGCTAGCCACTTGAGTTATCTAATTAAGATCAATGTGTCAAAGATTTTTTATGCAAATTATCAAAAACCATAGTAAAATCGCTTCAGTACATGAACTTTATCTTAGAAAAGTCATTTTAAAAATATATAACCAACAACAAAAAGGAAATGGCATTTAAATAGGACTGCTTCATGTAATGTAACAAATTTAAAATATAAGTTATGTCTTCAGTTTTGGAACACATTCATTATACATACTAACATTAGAAGCATATGAAAAACAACCTTGAACAATTAAATATGAAGTTCAGAAAATTTCTGGTTTATTAACTAATACAATTAATAAGTACAATATGAAGAATGTAAGATGTGAATAAGTGAGAAACATAGATGAATGAAGTTCTAGCACTCTTGAAATTTGCTAATGTATAAAGATTGAGGGGA